ACCTAGCTCAATCCCCTGGTGACAAATCCAGGTAGCTACTGTAAGTTTAGATTCTGTCATGCTTTCAAAGCCTGTTAGTGTACAAGCATGGTTTCATTTTCAAGGAGATCAGGCTCTATTTATTTATAGCCTGAAGTCTCCATCTCCAAAACTGTTGATAGGGAAGCTTTATACAAGCAAACTACTGCTAGTTTGTGGGACATCTGAAATAACAGCAAAACATACTGGAAATATTCAGCTGGTGAGGCAGCATATAAGGACAGAAACAATTAATGGGACTAAATTTGTCCATTTACAAATAACGAGTAGTGGCAAGGAAGTTTCATGGCGTCCAGTCTACCATAGCCCAGGCTGAATTTTCTCATACAAATCTTCCTTTTTTCATCTCACTAATTATTCAACTGAGCTGTTGGGAGTGTTTTATTGTGAGATCCTCCTGATAGGCAGAAGTGAGCGACTGGCTTATGTGCCTCTCACGCCATATTTAATACCACCACAGATGCTGCCAGCCAGGAACTACTTTTCAAAATACAATGTTCAATCCTAAAAATGCCACAGAGGAAAGGCAAGCTCTTCCAGGACAGGGATCTTCAGGTGCTGATGGATGGGATAGTAGAGAAGAAGGCAGTCCATTTTCCTGCTGACCGCCATAGAAAAAACATACCAATGCATCCAGCCAACCTGAACAAATGTTTCAATGCAGCTCAGTGCTGTGTTCCACATCAAAGGGAGTGCCCACCAATGTCACAAGGTGGTCTCTGACTTTCTGCAATCTGCAAGGGTAACTTCTACTTCATAGCAAACTCAGCCACTGCACACATACCTCACTAAGGCTCATGGATTTTAGCTGTCACTGTTGCATGGACCATATCCATTCAAAGACTCACACCCACCTCATTCTCACAAGCAACTGTTCCTTCATGCCCTCTATGCTTCCTAGCCATTTATTGAAGACATCTCACCACCTCTCTTGTTCATACATGACCACAAACTGCTGCTGCATGCACTTTTAATTCCTAAACTGCTTACACTTGATCTGCTGGACTGACAGTGATCAACCCCCCATAGTGTCATCTGATGAGCCCCTTGCTGCAGTATCAATTAATGGACTGCAACCTCCATTCACCCTACTAAGGACTGTTCCACTCGGACTTGTATATATTGCCATTTGGTTGAAGAACACATAAGCTGTTATCATTTGTTGCAACTCCGCCATTAGTGTATTAGATCTCCTGTCTGACTGACAGACTGACTGTTCAGTGACCCACAATCTCAAGCTGCCAACATGATCTACAGAACTATAAAGCAAGCTATACCATAGACCCTGGCAGACTGTTAACTCAGTGTTAAAATCAGTATGCACTGAGAAAAAAACCGTGAAGCAGGCAAGGATTGGTAACATCCAAGTAAGTCCTAAAGTGAGTCAGTGCTAAGCAAGGTAAGAGCCATAAGATGCACATATAAGATGCAAAAGCATCCTACGCACAGGCATGAGATGAGTGGTGGTTCCTACTTACAAAATGACCTGATTGAAGTGTCAGTCCACTCCAAAGTTAAGTGCTTAAGTCCTGAGGTAACGTCTGAATTGATTGAAGAGCAGGCATCATGATACAGTGAAACTGGTGGCATGTCACTGTGAGGTTATGTGGATAAACACTCAAGGAGGATGGTGGCTGTTGTGCATCCAAGAACATGTTGAGTAAGACGCAATGACGTAATGGCTGGGATAGATATTCAACGAGCTGCAGCCACCAGATATCCGCTCTGGTTTTCCTGCCATGAAAAAGCGTGCCTCATTTCTCAACTGAGAAGATAATTGGAAGTGGGCTGTAAATAGAATGAGTCACTCTTTAACTTAATGCAAATACATGGAAATAAGATTGTTGCCACTCAAGGGCAAGATTCTGAAGTTATCATTTGAGGCTTGAGGAGAAAATTGGGAAAACTTTCACAATAATTTGCCATTCTACCCCATGTAATCACTGCATTCAGCATCATTCTTGCCACACCAAAGAGGGGAGAATTCTATTCAGTATTTTATGCTTTCATCAGAATAGATGAATGAAGAAATATAACAGGTTTCAAATGTGTAAAAACAGAGTTAGGATAGGAAGGGAAAAAGGAAGATCAATGATAAATTGGAGGGCAGGGGAGATAAATAATGTAACATTGCATGATGCAAAAGCCAAAAGAGAATGGTAATGGGTATCACAGACAGATAATGCTTTTATTCAGGTGAGATGTCAATGGATGAGGAGCAGTTACCTGAATGCCACTTGGAGAGATACAGAAAGAAACAAGGCAGCAAAAAATAAACAGGATAAGATGGAGACAGAGATTATAGTCTAAAGTTGTTGAACTCAGTATTGATTTCAGAAGGCTGTAGAGTACCAAGGCGAAAGTTGAGCTCCTGTTCCTTGAGCTTCCACTGAGCTTCATTAGAACTCTGCAGCAGGAAAAGGAGCTAAAGGTCAGAGAGGAAGAAGGGTAAAGAATCAAAATGGCACATGACTGGAATGTTGGGTTCATGCTTCCAACGGTCCACAAAACAGTTACCCGACTCTGTTTGGTCTCCCGAATGTAGAGAAATCTACCTTGTGAACAGCAATGGCAGTATACCAACATTGAGAGAAGTAGAGGTATATTGCTGTAGCCCTTGGAAGAAATGTTAGCTTCTTGGACATTGAGAAGGGAGGCAGTGAAAGGACTGGGATGGCAGCTTCTGTGCTTGAGTGGAAGGGGTTGCTCAGGATGAAAGAGGAGTGAATCAAAGTATCACGGATGGAATGATCCCTCTGGGATTATTTATAAAAACTTTAGGGCCATGGAGAAACCTTGTGAAGATTTCATGGAGTTGCGCCTTATTGGTTATTAATAGCACATAGTGGGACGAGTGAAGGAAGAAAGAGAAACATGTAGAGTGCTAGGCAGAAACCAGAAGACTGACCATGTGGAAAGTACAGGGGAATTGAGTTTAAGAGCTGTGAGGTTATGCTACAGCTCTATGTAACTCTGGTTACACCACACTTGGAATATTGTGTTCAGTTCTGGCCACCTCATTATGGGAAAGATGTGGAAGCTTTAGAGAGGGCGCAGAGGAGATTTACCAGGATGCTGCCTTGATTGGAGGGCAGGTCTTATGAGGAAAAGTTGAGGGAGCTAGGGCTTTTTTCATTGGAGTGAAGAAGGATGAGAGGTGACTTGATAGAGGTGTACAAGATGATGAGAGGCATAGATAGAGTGGATAGTCAGAGACTTTTTCCCAGAGTGGAAATTACTATTACAAGGGGGCATAATTTTAAGGGGATTGGAGGAAGGTATATGGGAGATGTTAGAGGTAGGTTCTTTACACAGAGTGTGCTGGGTGTGTGGAATGCGCTGCCGGCAGTGGTACTGGAGTCAGATACTTTAGAGACTTTTAAGTGACTCTTGGATAGGCACATGGAGGATAGTAAAATGTAGGGTATGCAGGGTAGTTTGATCTTAGTAGGATAATAGGTCAGCACAACATCGTGGGCCGAAGGGCCTGTACTGTGCTGTGCTGTTCTATGTTCTATGTTCTGTGTACATGTAAAGATGTACGTGGACTACTGACCAATATTAGGTGGTAGAATTCATGGAATAGCCATTCAATAATGTACTAGTAAAATTAAAGCCTAGTATATCACTGAATACAATGTATTGTACTATTTCGTCTTAATATGTCATGGACAATATTATAAAGAACATCCAAGCCTGAAGATAATTCTTGACATGCCGTCTCCTTGACCAATCTGTCTTGAATCCAAAGTCTTGATATGGATGTGGCATAACAAAACACAAAAGGGAGAGGAGGAGAAAATGTGGTGGTGGCATCACAGTGGAGAGACAAAAGATGACCCATTGAATACAGAAGTTGGTGGGTTGAAAGTTGGAGATAAAGGGAACAGTATTGGAAAGGAGGGAAAGGAATGATAAATGAAGTATGTGAGATGTATTTGACATGGTGAAGGGCCCTGTCAACCACACCATGCAAGAATCCTCAAGGTAAGGAAAAAGGAGAACATTTCTGATACAGTAATGTGGAAGGTTGCATCTTTGGAACAGATGCATCAGAAATAGAAAAACCAAACAGGGAAAATATTTTTTAACAGTTCATAAATGGTGGCATTATTACACCATTAAAAAATCATCTATTTGGCAATAAGACATCATATTGTAATATAGCATAGGAGTGAAACTGCATCTTTTCAAAGTTTTGGTTTGTTTCTGCTTGTCTGGTTCAGGTGCCAAAAATGATTAGATTCAGAGGAAGAATTTTTAACTTGAGTAGCAGATTGAAAATTGAATAACATGGTCACAAAACATGCTCAAAAATGTTGATGGTTAATGTAATAGTGCCATGTGGTTTCAGTTGGCTCATGAATCATGTAGAACATTAGTGTAAGGGCTCTTGTGACATAGTGGTCGTGTCTTTACCTCTGGGTCAGAAGGCTGGGGTTAAAGTCCCAACTTCTCCACAGGGATGTCAGAATGTGTCTGAAGAGGTTGATTAAAAACATGTCTGGAACATGAGTTCCAACGCTTGTTGAATCTATGATGACAAATAATATTGAAGACTTATTTAGGCTTCAGTACCAGTGAAGTTTTCACAGATCGGTAACCATAACATTATGTAGCTACAAGAACTTACTAAAGTTGTTGTTGATGTTAATTGGTTATCTCAATCATATAGGAAAATGAATAATAAGTATAAAACTCATTTTTATGGCTTCACCAGCATTTTAACTCCTCATCATTACATTCTTGTTGCTGAGAAAACACTGGATGATATTGTTTTAGTTGGTAAGGAGAGTTGAGATGCAGCAAATATCTACATGACAAAAAAAATGTGGACTCAACTTTGATCTTAAACAAAAAGTGGTACCTCAGCCAAAGTGAATGACCATATAATCAATTCCTAAATGGGAAGATATTAAAAGAGCATTCAATTTCAAGATTTTTTTTACTTTTCTCTCTAGGTACTATCACCATTAACAGCAAGCGTTCACCATATATGGCACATGGGGAGAGTGAAATTCTGGACCTGGATGATGACTTGTATTTAGGTGGACTACCTGAGAACAAAGCAGCTCTTATTTTCCCTACAGAAGTATGGACAGCTCTTCTTAACTATGGATATGTAGGATGTATCAGAGACTTGTTCATTGATGGCCAAAGCAAAGATATACGGAGAATGGCTGAAATCCAAAATGTGGCTGGAGTTAAACCTTCATGTGCAAAAGAAGGTCCAAAGCAGTGCCTTAGTAATCCATGCCGAAACAATGGTGTTTGTAGAGAAGGCTGGAACAGGTACATTTGTGATTGCTCTGGAACTGGATTTCTTGGCAAATCTTGTGAGAGAGGTAAGCAGGACATTTGAACCACAATAACATGGGTTTTAGTTGTTTCTTCTTACAAAAAAAAGTCCGGATGCAAAAAATGACTGAGATTTCCTTCTCACCTAAAATTTTTTAATTTTTATTTGTTGTGCAACAGAGTTTATCATTGTGTAAAATTTGACAAGCGTTTTTATCGTACTAAGTATGCAAGCACTTTTATGTATCATTTCAGAGGGTTGTTTGATAGCCAGCCTTTATTGTTTTGGGATTGTGCTAATGCTGCAATTCACAGGGGGACTTGAGAGACATCAGCACAACTTGTCTTAGCCAATGAAAACGTTTCTCCTGTTATACAGTTGCTGAGCAGTATCAGTGGTACTTATGATGAGAATCTCATTCATCTTATATCTTGCATGAATTATGATGTCTTGAAGTGATTAGTTGACATTAGGGAAAGAAAAAAATCACACAGGAGAAAACTTGTAAGGAGTGGAATACAATTCTTAGAACTTCTTTCGTTCCATTATATTGTTACAGTTTGTTAACTGCATTTTAGAAGAAAGTTCTTTGTTGACTGTTAGATCCTTGCCACAGCTCATCTTGATGAAAGATACATCAGGTATAATTTTTGCCAAGATCCCTTTTCTTGGTGTGGTAGAGGAACACCACCTGGTTTTCTAATGAGCAGAGATATTGTCTCAAACAAGATGGAGTTTATTGTATGATAGTAACTAGATACAAGCTACATTGTTACGATAGACTTAGCTACAAGACTATCATAGAGATTACTAAGCCATAGAGGACTTCCGCAATCAAACAGAACAAAGCGTTGTTCTCCCTCCCCAGATCACCCCATCAAATCAGGTGGTGCTTAATATGCTCTTCAACATTTCCAAACTATCACACACTTATACAAAATTCCAGATCCAGAGTCAAATTGTGTGGAGCCATTGCAAGTCTTGGCCCCTAGCTGGAAAGCCAGTGAGAGCCCCATTGCCTCTTTTTCTGGAAAACACCGTGTCAAACACAGACTTTTGACAGGGCTTTCCTGGAATCAAGGGTCTCAAAATGGTTGCACCCAAGAGAGCTTCTAGGCCTCAGAGTGCTATTGAGAAATGCCCCCACCAGCCCCCTAGGGCCCACCTGACTCTCCTGAGTCTTCAAAGTATGTCCAAAGCACAAGGACTGTCAACAATCCTATGGGGGTTTGAGTGACTTGGGCTATGATGGGATTTGTGGTGGAATTAGACAAGAAGTCCATTGAGGCCTATCTCAACATTGGGAGCATTATTATGCTTTTGGCGAGAAACGAGGTGTGTTCCTCGCTGGGCAGTGGCAAGTTGCCAGTTAAAGGGACTTATTGCTTTTTTAAAGCCTTATTAATAGTCCATATTACCTCAATGATCAGAAAACAGTGAACAAAGAATATTCTTCTAAAATGCAGTTAACAAACTGTAACAATATAATGGAATGAAAGAAATTCTAAGAATTGTATTCCACTCCTTACAAGTTTTCTCCTGTGTGTTTTTTTCCCCCTAATGTCAACTAATCACTCCTCTTGAGTGAGCTCCAACAACTTAAAAGAAGCTTGATATCAGATAAGGCAAGGCAGCCAACTTGCTTGGTATTCCATTCACTGCCTTCAGCTTTCACTTCCTCCACCATTGATGCACAATGGCAGCTGTGCATACCATCTACAAGATACACTGCAGCAACTCACCCAAGCTGCTTCATTAGCACCTTACAAACCCACAACTCCTACCACCTTAAAGTGTAAGTGCAGCAGATGCATGAGATCATCATAAGGGTTTCTCTCTAAGCTGTACACTATCCTGACTTGGAAGCAAGCTGCCATTTCTTTACCATACCAGTATCAAAATCCTGGAATTTCCTCTCCAACAATGTGGTAGGTGTTCCTAAACCCCATGGACTACAGAAGTTCACCACCACCTACTTGAGGACAATTTGGGATGGGCAATAAATGCCAGCCTAAACAGCGATGCATATATCACATGAATGGATAAAATTGCCATAAATATAAATGGCTGGAATCAGGAATCTGTAAAGAAGCACCCTTTTAAGGTGAGAGGGTAGTGATACAAAAGGGTCCAGGGGGCAATTTATTCACACAGAGGATGGTGAGTGTCTGGAACAGGCTGCCAGAGGTAGTGGTGGAGGCGAGTACAATTTTGTCATTTAAGAAATATTTGGACAATTACATGAATGGGATAGGTATGGAGGGATATGGACCAAATGCAGACAAATAGGACTAGTTTAATTGTGAAAACTGAGCAGCAAGGATAAGTGGGACCAAAGGGCCTGTTTCCATGCTGTAAACTTCTATGACTCTATGATTCTAAGCAAGTTCAATATAAATACATAATAATAATTCTCACTGAGGCAATCCCTGACTAGTCTTGTTGCTCCTGAAGATCAGTTGATCTGTTGATCTATTTTCATGAGCCAAACACCTATTTCAACCAAAACCCAGTATTTCCAGCAACATTTTTTTTGTAACCTGATGGTAGTTGTCACTATGATACAATTGGATGATCCATCTTTGTCACTGTCTGGATGGAGAATATCAATGTTTACAAACTGTGGGCAGAATCCGATGGGGGTCTGAGTGACTTGGGCTATGGTGAGATTTGTGGTGGAATTGGACAAGAAGTCCATTGAGGCCTATCTCAACATTGGGAGCATTTTTATGCTTTTGGCGAGCAACAAAACATGTTCCTCGCTGGGCAGTGGCAAGTTGCCAGTTAAAGGGACTTATTGCTTTGTTGCAGCCTTATTAATAGTCCATATTACCTCAGTGATCAAAAAACGGGTACCTGGTGACTTCAGCTTGTCACTCCTTGTGACCAACGTCCATGTGAATCAGCACCAAAAGCATCTCAGGACATGGTCCACGGGCACTGGCTGCAAGTTTCCCTCGTCCATGGTCATTGGAATCCAAAACTTGCCAACCCCATACAAACTGCATGGCATCTCTGTTTTATACGTACTTAGGTAGCACTGACTTGCATTGCAGGGTGCACTGGCAACTAGACTTGCAGCAGGACATATTGCATGCAGCATGCTCATGGACTGGATCAGGCTGCATCTCATTCCCTCTCCTAGTGCTCATTCACTTAACACCACGGCGGCTCAGTGGTTAGCACTGTTGCCTCACAGCGCCAGGGAACTGGTTTTGATTCCTTGGATGACTATCTGTGTGGAGTTTTCACATTCTTCCCTGTTTGCATGGGTTTCTTCTGGGTGCTCCGCTTTCCTCCCACAGTTCAAAGATGTGCAGGCTAAGTGAATTGGCCATGCTAAATTGCCCATAGTGCCCAGGGATGTGCAGGCTTGGTGGATTAACCATGGGAAATGCAGGGTTGCAGCGATGGGGTGGTGGGTGGGTGTGGGTGGGTTGCTCTTTGGAGAGTCAGTGTGGACTCGATGGGCTGAGTGGCCTGTTTCCACACTGCAGGGATTCTACAACTCTGTCTACCTGAATGTTCGCAGCACCCATTAATTGGCTTGCCATGCCCATTAGTGCATTAGCACCTCAGCCAAAGCCAAAGTCTATCAGGAATGCTGCATTGACTTGCTCAGACACGCAGACAGGCGGCTGGTCAGTAGGGATCTGTCTAGCGAGCAGCGGATGTGGATGACGCCCCAATATATGGCACACCAAGACTATCTAACACCCACAGTAAGTGCCAGCTCCCTAACTAGCAAACATGCTGCACATGTATTCAACCAAATGGCTGTGTTGGAAACTTTTTTTCTAAATGGTACGCACGTTAGGTGTTACTGGCTGCCCAGCGTTTTTGATGCCTGTCCCAGGTTGCCCTTGAGAAGGTGATGGTGAGCTGCCTTCTTGAACCGCTGCAGTCCATGTGCTGCAGGTAGACTCTCAATGCCCTCGGGGAAGGAATTCCAGGATTAAACTGAGTAGTGGGTAATCCTCAGCCCACTCAAGTAGGGCTGCAGTCAATCAGTGTGTCTACATATCGTCAATCAGGAGCACAGCCTTCACACATTCGAGGACACGGCCACAGTCAGTCATCAGCTTGGAACGCTGACTTGATCTGGTCAACTGCAGTCCAAAAGTGGGCAATGACTATCCTGTACAGCCAACACCAACACTCAGGAAAGTCACTTACCATTAGCCACAAGGCTGCAAGAACAGTGGTCTGATCTGGTCAGTCATGTCTGGGAGCTGCTCATCAAAGTTAGTCAAAAGTTTGGGGCAAATGCAGGCCTAAGGATCCATCCATCGATTGCTCAAGGCGGGTGGGGGTTTGGGGGGGATGTTTTAGGTGTATGACTGCCAAGAGAGTTGGGGAAGTCAAGGTTGATGGCGGGGTAGAGATTGGGCATTTTTGAAACAAGGATGGTGACGGGAGAAACTCAGGCAATATGCCAAATGGTATTGTGGTAGGCTGTTGGAGGGGGGAGTTTTTGTCAGTGATTATCACTGTCGCCTCCAGAAGGGGAGCATAAAGGAGCATCATTCAGGTAGGGTCGCCATCATTTCGGTGTAATATCGGGGTTTGAGACAGGGAGTACAGTTACAGATGAAGTTTAATGTGGTGGGTCTCCAAATAGAGGGGATAGACAGAAATGGAACTGTCAGGATAGCACAGAGTAAAAGGGGGCATGGAGAGAGGGACATGTCAGTTAAGTAAGGGGTCAGTGCTGACAGTTCCAACAGTGAGCTGTATTCTCTAGCATCTCTTGTCATTCCGTAATTGCGAAATGTAACTGTAAATTGGCTGAGACCATCTCCAGGGTGGATAGAGTCAGTATCGCTTTGATGGACAAAAGTGCAGGATCTCGATCTATTGGGTGTTAGGACATGGAAGGGACAAATACTTGTAGCATGTGTTTGCATATTCCAGTTACAGTTCATATGAAAATATTTCTTTGCAGGTAAAGTGAAGATGCTTATTCATCAAAATCATGGTGCCAGTATTCAGTTTGCATTGTTGGCGCAGACTGCAGCCTTTATTAGTTTCTTTTGTGTTCCCTTT